AAGGGAACCAATTACGCCTTTCCATATTTTGTATTTTATATATAGTGTTACCATGAAAAATGTTCATGGCCAATGTTTCAAATAATGAGGTAAACGTATGTAAAAGTAATCTCTGTGAGCAAATACCTCAGGCTTTAGACCATTCTGAACACTGACGTCATAGTGGGTGCGGTTACATGATGGCTTCTCATTCAGAATGAAATAAATCTGAATGAAATCATTCGGAAATAAAGTTTTTCAAGGTAGTTTACATGAGAAATATTCATTCCGATTGAAGGTTTACACGGGAGATCAGTTTAATCGCCTTCATTTGGGTCCGCGCAAGGTTTGGGGCAGGGAAGGTTTCTGATTGGATAGGGGGCGGGGCGGATGTTACGTGTACCGGAAGAAAACACTGTAGTCCTCGCTCCGGATAACAAGATGCTTGACGACGCCGTTCTTAGTGCCTTTTTCAGGCTTGTTTTGCTTATATTCTTGAAGCAGCAGTACGACAACAACCTTGTTCTGCTAATGCTTCTTCTGTTGAGGAGAAGAAGAGAGGTAGAAGGTCGAAGAAGAGAGATAGAGGACCGTGCTGTGGCAAATGGAAACCGGTGAGTGCAACGAGTCCGACTGCTCTATCTCAGCCCGTTGCTATGCGCGCTATATACATCATCGTGCCAGAGGGGCAAGGAAACGAGCATGCGCAGAAAGAACGGAATGGCTGAAATCGGGTAGGAGGTGTATACAAGACAGAAAAATTCTTCCATTCGGGTTCTGAAAAGGAATATTGATTAGATTTTCTTTTGGGTTGGCTGTTTTCATTCGGGTTGAGGTGTTTACAAGGAGCATTTCTATTCGGGTAGGGGTTCCAACCCGAATGCAAAAGGAATACATGGCTCCATGTAAACGCACGTAGTGTGTCAGATTTCTTTATATGGTCATTGACTCCAGGCATGCTACTGCAAGTGTTTACGTCACGTAGCCTACACTGCTTTATGAAGCTACATGCTAAAATCAGGGAAACATGTAGTATTGGTTGCCATTGTTGAAATTTCTCCCTGAATTCCGCTTATATTCATGGTGCAACATGTCCATTTGTGTTTAGAAGCATTTATTGGTTGATTTTTCCATGGTAGAAAGTGCTGCTATTCTCTGTTATTCCACCCAATGTAACAGTGCAGATACAGAGAGATATGGAAACGCTGACCAATCAGAGCAGACTAGGCCTTTTCAAGAGCAGGATTAAAGAGACAGACACCAAACAGAGCTAAACAGGGTGAATACAGGGGCACGTTCAGTCTCAAAATGGTGTGCACCGTTTGTCTCCAGTATTCCAGGTTGAATGACACGTTTCCTTAAAATGGTGTCAAACAGTCTGCAGTGGGCTTTAGGATAGATTTTCTCTCGTTTGGTGCGTGTGTCTGAGATGTATCCAATCAGCAGTAATGTGTATATAAATAACTACTGGGTATATCTTTACTTACTATGCATACAATTTTTGCTTTATTTCACACAAACTTTGGCAATGTAAGCATGTTTTCCACGCAAATAACAATTTAACTTAACAGACCTAAACCCTGCTGTGTTAAAGCAGCTCTTACCTTTCTTGCATTTCATACAGCATTTGGAAAAAATCTGAACATCCACAACTCCTGCCTCCCTCCAAAGTCCCATCCCCCTCCTCCTGCAACTCCACCTCCCTCCAAAGGCCTACTCCCCCCTCCTCCATTACGTCTATGATAGACGTAGGCGTTGGCAAGGTAACGTTAGATACACGGAAGAGGAGAGCGAGTGTAATGTTACAACCAAGACAGTCAAACGCAACCCTGGAGTTTTAAAACTCAACCGGAGTCAGTGATGACTGATGAGTTTTAGAATAAGGTTACAGTGCTAACGTTGAATAGTAGTGTTAACGTTACTAGTAAGTGGAAACGCACAAGGAAGGTAACGTTAATGTTTCAGAGGCTACGCTACAGTAGGATAACGTTAGCCATTAGCAACTGCATGCTGTGTTGTCATATAATGTTATATGTTGTATTAGAAGCAAACTAAACATAACGTTACCTGTCCTGTACAATCAAACGCAACCCCAGAGTTTTTAAACTTATCCAGGATCAGTGATGACTGATGAGTTTTATAATATAACGTAAACGCTAACGTTAGATAGTACTGGTGACTGGCAACACTGGAATGTTACACGAGCGGTTACGTCAGTCTAGTCGGAGGCCTCCACGTGGGGAAGACAGACAGGACGCTCGGCCAATCATGGAGATTTCTTAAAACCATATGAGAATGGTATAATTATGAGTTTTTATCTCTGGTGGGATTCACTTACATTTTAGTCTGCCATCAGCTTATTAATAGCATTTTAACCTAAACAAAGAAAAGCGTAAAATTTCCACAGAAGGTAAGTATTGCTTTAAAAGGCAGTGCACCTGTGTAACACAACAGGGTGTCTAACGCACCACCATTTCTGTTTAAATAAAAGTTATGCTACGTTTTGTCAGGGCTGAACGTAGCCCATGTTTTCCAGCACAGACAGTAGGAGGAAAATAAAGTGTTTTTTGAACATTAAAGCATGTAAACATGTTCTAGCAGGAATCTTAAATAAAAGTGGGAACCTGAAAATGAGCATAAAAGGTTCCCTTTAACCATTTCTGTTCACATCTCTGATGAAGGCAAGTCATCACACATTTCATGTGACACTAGAAAACTGTAGTTGCAATGCAGATATAATGAAGCATTTCAAGACCCCCTCTGGCACTGTAAGAGGTCATAAAGTGAATGATAGAACTGAAATATGGACTGGTATGTCTATTCATGCTTTTCCAACAATCTTATCAACACTTGCTGGCAGTAGTGTTCCAAGGAACACAAGAAAAGTGAAGTCTGTCAGATAATGTAAACATAAATGTAAACAACTGAGGTTTCAAATTAGTAAGAGACAAATTGGCTTTGCAAATGTTTTACATACGTTTGTTACACCTTAAAGATACACATGATGAGACACACTAAATGTCACATAACTTTGTTTACAAGAAAACCCCGCCTGTACATCAAACTTCCACCAGGCCACACCCACCTGTAGCTGATGTGCTTCCTGGTTCTGGTTGATCTCCTCCCCAGATTTTTGCTCTTTTTAGGATCTTTCTTTTTTGTCGACTTTGCTGACTCTTCTTCCCCCTCATCTCCCTCCTAAAACAGTCAGGACAATTCTTTTTAATGTTGCACAGCAAAATATAAACTAATATTTCTATTACATCAAACAGATGGCCATGTTAGGTTTCAGTTTGTTTCACAAGATTAGATGGTTTAATGTTTTCATTTCAAAGGGCAGTTTTGAATTGCATTTCACCATCTGTGTTCTTTATTGATCTCAGAAGCCCCAGGTAGAAAATACAAACACCTGAGAGATGCTGCTGCTTTCCTTGCGACAGCCACTGTAATGCTACAACTGCAAACATGGGCAAGCTTCTTTGCTCAGTGTAAGTAAATCTAAGTGAAACTTAGATTTTAAAATAAAAATTTCTGGCATTAATAACATGTTAAAACTAATAAAATGATGCACTAAAGTAATGTCATTATTCCCCATGTGTTTAAACTGACAGGGATAATTATGAAGCTGTGTGTTGAAAATGATGTGGTAAATTCTTTTACTTATTTTACTCACAGGTATTATGTTCTCCACACTGATTCCCACGTACACCAGCCGTTCCCTCCTGGATGGGCAAGGACAGATTAGGGTAAAAATCCACATCATTTTGACTTAAAGACTTTTTTCAGAACATTGATCATAGTCTGTGTGTTTTTGGATCCCACACATTTTAACAAATGAATTTTCAAATCTTTCCCACAACTTTTTCATACTCATGACTATATGGGGATACAGCCATGCATTATTAAACACACACTTCACAGGCATTTGCAAATAAGTAAACTGCTGGTGGTTGCTAATTTTCTCGTTAGACATTTCTGCCACCAACTAGCTGCATAATTACGCCCATTGCCAGTAGACCAGAATGGCACACGCCCCTTTTTGGCGGATAGAAAACCAAAGATTGAAGAGATGTCAATGCAATTTTACTTTGACTTATAATTTTTAGACGTTTGTATGCATTTATTTCTTGTTAAACAAATGTTTGTCTTATGGACATGTCTAATAATTGTTTTGCAACCTTGCCTGAACCTGAATGTATGTGATATCTTAATAAATGAAGGTTGATCTCCCCAAGGTTCATTGCCCCACTGACAGTGAATATTCAGAATGTGCATCGATCTCAGTGTGAAAGTCTTGGTTAACCAGCAACATAACTGCTTTTCTGCATTTTCCTAATTTTTTCCTAAAGTGACTGACAACACTTTTCTTTTTTCCAAAAGGGGTGCAGGCTTGGCGATGACGCAATGTCGGACTGGTCCATGTGTATCACATAATAGTGGTGATGTTCCATAGTCATGCAATGCTGCACCTGATTTGAAATTAGTAATAGAAGGAATGTATTTCACGTAATGTTAGACATGTTTTGGGAATTTAATGAACATATTGACAACAACAAAAACGTTTCCAAAATGTTGTGTTAATTCCAAACCATTTCCAAGGCTGGAAAATAGTTTTTCTTTTTTCATAACTTTAAGAGAAATTTCATGACCGTGGAACCCATGTGTGAGTGTGTTTGTTTGTGTGTGTGTGTGTTTACCTCCTCTCTGCTCTCTCTCTTTTCTTCAGAGCACTGTCCAGGTTCTGCAGCTGCTCCTCCAGTTTCTCACACAGCAGTTTCTAAATGAAGGAAAACCAAAAATACACAAATCAAATGTTGAAAAACATCTCCTTTAAAATGTCTTGTTTATTAGCGAACCTCAACACTATATTAGTAACACTGAAGTAGTGTAGTAAGGTTTTTGTGTTGTACTGTCACGGCATCAAAAACAATACCCAGCCTTACAGTCAATATGAAAGCAAAACTCTTGGCAAACTCAGAATCAAACCATCAACAACTTTAAGACATTACTGACCACAAGGGTAGGGAATTAGAGATTTCTAGTTTTATTTAATGACTATTTGACATCAGATAGGTATTATCACCAAGATAGAAGATCAGATGTGTTTTATGTGTGTCACACAGCTTACATGTTGGCAGGGTGGGCAGAACCACTCTCCATCAGGAATCAACATGAGCGGTGGCCGCAGGCAGGCAGTGTGGTATCCACTATCACAAGAGTCACAGAGCAGGATCTGAGGACAAACACAGACAGACAGACAGACATGCAGACAGGCAGGCAGACAGACAGGCAGACAGGCAGGCAGAGTCAGCTGTGATAGAAACACTGTATTGAACTCCACACAAACAACAAACGACTTCAATACTTTTCATTGTAGCTTCACTTTGATAATGTGCAATGGGAATTTGTCATTACTGTCGACATTTCATAGAGTACTTAATCCAAACAAAACAATACGATTCCAGTTTATGCCTAAAATGTTGGATTGGATTGAGGTCAGCTCTGTGCAGACCAGTCAAAGTCTTTATAGACCTGCCTTGCTTAGCATTAAAAGATAACTTTGGTATTTGTTAACCTGGACCCTATTTTCACATGTTTTTGTGTGCAAGTGACACTGACAGGCTCATTTTGTTATTATTAGTGTCTGATAACATTATGGAAAGATCCCTACAAAATTTTAACGTTTTTCTTAACCTTTCACTGATCCAGTCTGTTTGTTACTGTGTCTAATCAAGTTTCATTCAAGGAGAAGTCTCAATCTGAAATCTTGTGAGAGGTGAATGGACTTGCACTTGTATAGTGCCTTTCTCGTCTTTTGACTACTCAAAGCACTTTTTACACTATGAGTCACATTCTCTCATTCATACACACATTTACATAGTGGTGGCCGAGGCTACTGTACAAGGTGCCACTTGCTACACAGTTTTAACACACTCACACAGCCGTCAGGAGCAATTTGGGATTCAGTATCTTGCTCAAGGATACTATGACATGCGAACTGGAGTAGGGATCGAACCGCTGATCTTCCAATTATTGGACGACCTGCTGTACCTCGTGAACCACAGCCATTGACTTTTTGCAGGAAAAACAATGGTGGAAATGTTAGTGAGAGTTGGGGTGCCGACAAGAATGTGCTGTGTTAAAGCACTGAAGGCGTACTTCAGTGTTATCTGAAAGGTTTCATGGCTGAGTATTTGGCTGATTTCGATAATGTGTAAAAGATAGCGAGATTTCAGAAAAAAGACTTTTCTTGTCTCAGTGAAAGGATAAGAAAAATGTTTCATTTCTCTGTAGGGTATTTTTCATAATGTTGTCAGACACCCATAGTAACAATCTGAGCCTGTCAGTGGCAGAAATAAGCACTTTTAGTGGACATGCATTGATAGTGCATATTGCCCCGAGAGGTTACATTGCAGCCTTTTTTCACCACTGCAGCTGCAGTGGTGTCTTTCAATAACAGATCAGTTTCAAATACTGTTGTATCCATTAATCACTCAAGACACAGTCAGACACAGACACATCGAACCAACATTAAAGAAGTAATGCCTCTGGTCGTCTATGTCTCAGCCAATAAATTGCACTTGAACACACTGCAAAGACGAAAGTGAGTGGCCAACTAGCAAGTACATTTTGTGTCTGTGTCAGAGGAAACAACTCTCCATATCAGCAGGCAGCTGTAGTCTGTGTGTTATTCAAAAAGGGAAACAAGAATACCAACAGGATGGATTCAAGACACTGGTTAGCCAGTTTGCACATTAACAATACAACCTGATGATGAAAGAACAAAGGGTATTTACTGTGTGCTAGCGAACAATAACACAACTGTTTCTGCTTAAGTGCTCAATGGCTAAAAAAATAATCTTATCTAATATAACAAGTTTGCTTCAGTCTCATGCCCCCTTGACTTAAGCTGTTTGTTTGCTTTCCTCACTTCCATTTCTCTTATGGTGCACTGAGCTGAGCTGCCAATCAGAGTGATTTCACTAGGTGATGGACTCTGTTAGGGCCAGAGCCGATTCAACATACTGAATCAGCCAAAAAACTCGTGACAAGGGCTGACTAGTGCCAACTATGTGCAATACACTGCAACAACTAGGATGACAGACACTCACCAACAAACCAACACTGACTGAGGGCCCAATGGTGGCTTGGTGTGTCACCGCCCTTAGAAATAAAAACATGGGAAAATAGGGTCCAGGTTGAAAAATACCGAAATTGCCCTTTAGGATTTCCCTTAATTCAAACCATGAGGCCTTGCACAAATTATAACAAACAGCCACAGACCACAAGTACTCAAATATATGTGGACAGGGGGTGTCCACTTACTTTATCATGTGTATAATAAAGAAGTGATACAGTCTGTGACACAATCACACTCTCTCCTCTCTCACCAGTTCAGGGTGGTTGGGCAGGCCACAGTGACTGCAGGCATCCTCACTGGGAATCTCCTCTGATTTACAAGATTCTTCTGAGTCGCTCCCTCCTTCGCTCTCCCCCTCTGCTCGTTTCCTGCCTCTGTCCTCCACCTCCTCTCCCTCATTCAATTTGCGTCTCTTGGCACGAATGTTGGACCATCGGGGGCGTCGATGCCTCCGTTTACCCTGCAAATGAGAGAGAGAGAAATAGTCAAACGGTAAAAAGAAGTTAAATCCAAGGTTATGTGTTCATAAAATGTTCAGGAAGAACATTTAAAAACTGATTACCCTCTGTTTCCTAATTTGCCTGACAAGTTCTGTTTTTCTGTCTTTCTTTGTAGTTGAGCTCTGCTCCCCTTCATCTTCTTCTTCTCCCTCCTCCTCCTCTTCTTCTCTCGTTCTGGTAGGCAGTGCCTGTTTTTTTTGTGGTTTCTTTCTCTGGCTCTCAGCCACCTTTGAGCTCGGCCTGCAGGTTGGCAAAGCAGATGATCTTCAAGAAAAAAGGTGCAGATGGACTGAATTTATTGTCAAAATTAAATCAGCTGTATTTCAGATTACAATGAACAAAAACAAATAAAAACTTTATTCTGTAATAATAATGCCCCAGTTAATGGCTCTATATACATACCTGCAAATCCTTGCAGATCTCCTCAGCGGCCTCCCTTCCTCGTGCACCTCCTGCTCCCTCTCTTTCTCCTCCTCCATTTCCCCTTTCCCCCTTAACTTGTTTCTCCGGTGCGGAGGAATCTTGATCTTTAACCTGATTCCTTCTTTTTGGAGCTCAGAGGAAGCTTCCTCCAGGGGACCCTGCCTCTCCCCTGATCCAAGCCCAGTGTCCTTCTCCCTAACCTGGGCAGTCGACCTACCATTGACCCCATCTCCCTGCTGGTCTGCTTTTTGAAGTGGAGCAGTGCTCCCTGATTCTGCCTCCAACTTTCCTGAAGTGCTTTTACTCTTTTCATGGTCATCTTTGCTTCCTTCTTCTGCCATGGGGCGCCCAGACACTTCTCTTCTCCTCTCCTCCTTTTCGTCCACGTTGTCATCCTTCTGTTGACGACTGCTGTGCCCAGTTTTTGTCCCCCTGTCTAACTGCTCCTCTGTTATTTTTTTACTCTGGTCTTCTGCTGTCTGTCTTTTGAGGTCCTCTGTGGTCTGTGACAGTGAAGACACATTAACAGAATCCACTTTTTTCTCTGAAGTTTCGGGGAGTGGGTCAGATTTTAAGGATGACAAAGGTAGTTTTCTAGCTGTTTGAGCCTCCATTGCCGCAGGAGGAAGATGAGCAATGGCAGCTGTTGCTGCAGTCTCCCCTTCAACCGGCCCCTTCCTTACCAGCACTGATTGCCGGCTCATCTCCCTCTCTTCCTCCACAGCCCTGGAACCCCAGTGGTCTAAACTGGGCCCATTTTGTTCCTGGTGCTCAGCACTGGGGGCTCTGTGACGCTCAGATGGGCTACGGATGACCCCTACATGACCTACAACACCGACTTGACCTATAACTCCTATGACTCCATTTTGTCCCTCTTTGTGCGGCAATGGGAGAGACGGTCTCCCGTTGCTCAATTCTTGCCTCGATGCAGTGACCACTAGTTGCTGCTTCGGTTGTGAGGCAGACGGACCTCCAGGTGGCGCTAATGAGCTTGTCAACTTCCCCTCTTTTCCATGACTGTCCTTGGTCTGGATCACTGAAGGGTTACAGACAATAATACTACTGCTGGTACTGTTGTTAAGGTGGTTGCTGTGGTAACTCTCAGCGATCTTAAGCTCCCTCTTTTTCAGTGGTATCTTGGCTTGCTGGTTGCTCCTGACGACTGCCCGTTCAGCTTCCTCCTCCTTGTTCATTTCCTGTTTTGTTACAGTTGCACCTGGTGCCATGACGACAGAGACAGCGTTTTTGGGAATGTCAGCATCCCTGGATTCTGATTTGATGACGGTGGTGATCGTGCTCACACGGTTATTAAAGACAGCCAATGATTTGTGGTCCATCCTCTCTATTTTCACCTTAGCCACAGTGTTTTCCTGCTTGGTATGCTGCGTCTCCTCCTGCTTTATCGCTGCAAAAACAAAAGAAACAAAATAATGATGCTTCTAGAAACAGTAGACAGGAGGGACAGAGCACAGGGAGCAGATCAGGTAGTATAAAAACTAATTTGCATCAAGATGAGAATCAAATTACAAGTAGTGTCTATAATAGGAGTGTGGATGTTTATCAGCCACTTGAACTGGTAAACAACTATTACTATTAAGGCCATTTTCTATTATTCTTGTATCTGGTAGATAAAATAATCTGGTTTATAAAAAAGTGGATGTAGTGGATACTTTGACCCGATTCACATCACTTTTCCAGTGACAGAAAAAAAACTGAAGGGTGTCCTGGTGCCCTGAAGGTTTAAGACACTGACCATGTAAACACTCGTAGTTTGTGTCTGGTTATGGTCCTTTGTGGCATGTCATTTCCACTCTCCCTCTCCCCTCATTTCCTGTCAGCTCTCTACTGTGCACTTTCTGCTAAAGCCAAAAACGCCCTAATATTGTGTCATTCAGCTCAACACACCAAGGATGTATGCACCAGATTCTGCCATCTATACATCATCTTTCAGATTATTTAACTTAACAGACTTACATAATTCAAGGGTGACGTTCTCATTAAACAAAGCATAAACGTAGAATAACCAGCTTTTTTTTTTTTTGGTCAAGATACCTTGTAATAGGGGTCCCTCTTCCTTTACAGGCTCAGCCTTCTCACTATCAGCATGTTTCTCTGTGGTCTTGGAGGGTTCGGGCTTTGTGCTTCCAATGGCCTCATCCCCTAAATCGTCAGAACACGAACACACACACACACACACACACACACACAGACACAGATGGAAGACAACGGTGGAAACATTAGTGAGAGTTGGAAAAAGGAGTGCTGGAAAGAACTTGTATTATAGTACAAAAAGCATTGCTTAGTGCTGTCTAAAAGATTTTCAATGGCATGGCTAAACATTTAGCTGATTTCAATAATGTGGAGAAGTCGCGAGATTTCAGAACGAGACTTCTCCTTTAACGGGATTCGACACGTTTTTGGACAGAACAGTTTTGGAAACTCCCTGCCCACTGGGTAGCTCACCCAAAAACTACATAGCTTCAGGGCTTTTTGTTTCTATTCACACCACCATTAGGAACAATAAAGTGATGTATGTACTGTTAGCTGGCTGACAGTTCATATAGCAATATCACCTTTGCTTTGAAGAGTCACAATTGCGTTGTATTTAGACCAACAACACAGACACAGAAATAGAGTTATGGTGAAATTCTTTTGGAGTAATGTTTATTAATAATATTCAAGCCTTGGCAGACTGTAGTGCAAGTGAGAAATTTATGGAGAACATCCACTGAAATCTGAAAAAAGTTTGCTTCACTGCAACCTACTATCAATTCAGAAGTCTGTAACTCTAGGATTTTCAAAATATGCAAAATCAATTGACATGTATCATCGATCATCTATCAATTAACATCTATATATCACAAGTCCTTATTCAAATGCTACCAAAATTGGCACAGACAGTCTTGGGATACTTCTGTTAACTTCAAGATATCTTGGCTCTTCGTTGCATTTATGGACATAAAAACCTCAACAGTGTTTCAGCTAACTTGAGGGAGAGAAGATGATGAGAACTAACCTTTTGGGGGGGAACAGCCACTTTTAATATTTTTCTCTCAGTAATAATTTCACATTTTTATTGTGATGTATGTAACATCATTATATATCAATCCACTGATGATTTTAACATGAGATAATATAAACCCTACAATTTAAATAAATAACTACTCGTTTGCCCAAAATACCTGCATCTTTCTCTGTGGGACTGGCACTCCTGGATCCAGCCTGATTCTGGTTCTGGTTCTGGTCCTGGTCCTGATTCTGTTTTGGTTCAACTTGGGCCTTCAGCAGTTCCAGAGCCTCAGCCAGGTCGTTGCGAGTCCTGAGAAGACAGTTTGTATAAGTGTCTCAAACAAGAAACCAAACTAGAATTACCACCCCACAGTTGTATGCCTCTGTGCACCAGTCAAGTTGCAGTTACAGTTTACATCCATGTCTGTGAAAACATGGATACTTCACACACATCTCCCCCCAGCAGCACAGACAATCTATACAATCAGCACAGTTTCAACTTGGGCACCCAAGATCAGTGTCACCAATTCAGTATCTGACCATATGTTTTCCCTTGTCTTCCTGAGAAATGACTTTCAGAAATGGCCAGAAAAGTGTTTCATGCAGAACATTATGATGTCACAGTAAAGTTGACCTTTGACATTTTTGATATAAAATGTCATCACTTTATCATTTTACCCTATTAGACATTTGTGTACATTTTTGTCGCAATCAGCTAAATAATTTTTGAGTTATGGCCAAAAACATATATTGTTAGGTCACAGTAACCGTGACCTTCGACCTTCAACTACCAAAATTGAATCAATTTATTCTTCGATCCAAGTGGACGTTTGTGTCAAATCTGAAGAAATTCCCTTGAGGTGTTCTTATGATATCACGTTTGAGAAAATGAAATGGATGTAAGTTCACAGTGACCTTAACATTTGACCTACGACCTACAAAATCTAATCACTTCATCATTGAATCCAAGTAAATGTTTGTACCAAATTTGAAGAAATTCACTCCAGCTGTTCTTGAGATATTGTGTTCACAAGAATGAGATGGATGCAAGGTCACAGTGACCTTGACCTTTGACCCTTTATTACAAAAATCTGATGAGTTCATCCTTGAGTCCAAATGAACATTTGTGCCAAATTTGAAAAAATTCCCTCAAGGCATTCTTGAGATATCGCGTTCACAACAATGGGGCGGATGGACGGACAGACGTATAGACAACCCGAAAACATAATGTCTCCGGCCACGGCCATCACTGGTGCAGAGACATAAAAACAGGAGAGCAGAATTTGAAAATACTTTGGGGTGAAGAGACCAGACACTGCAGCCCGTTATCCAGCAGGGACTAACAAATCATTTTAGGAAAAAAAAAGTGAGGTGGCTAGTTTAAGATAGCGTTAAGCCAAGGCTGATATATTATTGTTTTGTTGTAATGTGAACCTGACTAAATAAAATAAGAAAAAAAAGAAAAAGAGACAACAATATTAATACATGTGACTGTAGCCTGAGACACTGGTGCCACCTATTTACACACAATGAGAAGTTTGTCCACCAGAACAGTAATACCTAACAATGCACTTCCAGGTAGATCCGTCCAGATCGTCCTGTTCCTCTGTGTACAGTCGAATGTTCTGCTCCTGGTCCAGCTGAAGCCAGTACATCAGGCCCTGCTGGTCTCGACCTATAGGCTGCAGACGCATCTTCTCAGGGTCCTCCTCATTAATCGCCATCTTGAACTTTAGGTTGTCATCAAACTGGCACTCGCAGAGATACTGAAGGGTAAAGGTGTCAAAGGAAACAGGAGGAAGTTGAAGGGGGGAAGATATAACAAAGACATTAATAAACTAGAGACCATTTAATGATTTGATCAACAAGTAAGGATGCACCGAATATTCGGTAACCGAACGGTTATGGACGGAGTAAAATGTCGGCAGTGTGGAGACATTTTACTCCGTCCGTCACCGCACTCGCATTTGCGACTAAAAATAGTTTTGTGCAGGCAAAATAAATCATTCAGCCCGCTGTGTGAGTACAGATTTCAACCAGCAGCAGAAACGAAACAGCGAATCCCGCCGGTTGTGGGTTGAACGGGGGTCACTGACACGGACAGGAATACGTATTCATGTCAAATACGGCAGCACATGATAACGGCTTACTGGTGACGGAGAAGTCCGGCTCCAGGTGAAAAACTTGTTGTCATGACTACCCAAAAGTACCTGCACAGCCAAGCCATGGCAGCACACAGTATGTGGCGTATCAGAGGAGAAACGAGCCGTTCACATTTCTCTCTTTGTGGCAGGTAACAGCCCAAAAACCTCACCGCACTTTAGGGACTGTTCTTTACTTATGAAGGGACTGTTCTTTACTTATGAAGGGACTTGTCAGGGGAGGAGGGTGGCTGGTTGATTTTTATTTAATTTATTTATTTTATTTTGATCCCCCCTATGTTAATCACTTAATGATGCTGTTTTTGAAGTATGAATAAGTCAATAAGTAATTTATTCCAATGAAATAACATTGATGTACTATAGAAAAGTGATTTATCTTTTTATAAATGACAAAAGGCACATCTGCCTCATTTTTGCTGTGGTATCCTGATACTACTCAGAACCGTGATACTTTCACTGGTATCATACCATGGGTCCCAATTTTGGTACCGTGACAACACTAATCTGAAGGGGGTTCATCTGCAAAAACTAATGAAAAACTAAAAAACGGCATTCGGTATTCAAAACTCGGTATTCGGACAAGCGTTTAATATTATTCGGCTTCAGCCACAAATTTTCATTTTGGTGCATCCCCATCAACAAGCCACAAAAAGGCAATCCGAACTTAAAATGAATGTGAGCCTGGTGCAGACCACAAACATCTTCAAACCCTGCCCTTATTGTGATCTCAGCTACACAACTGTAAAGTTTTGTGACTGCATTTTGCACAGTTGTGATGTTGACGCATTGATAAAATCTGTCCACAGACAAACAGACAGCTGTTGCATTATTGCAGCTATTAAAAAGATTACTGACAACATTTACATGCACACCAATATTCCACTATTAATATCCTGAATTTGATACGGGTCATGTAAACAACATACTCCATTAGAATTTTCCAAAGTAGACCTTTTTCCTAATTGAGCAGTTTACTTTAAAGACATTTGGGATACTCTGGTATTATTCTGGTTTTATGAGCATTCTTTAAAATGTATAGAGAACATTTAAAATATGCGCCTCAAATAAGGTTTCTAACAGTTTGCAAAACACAGCATCTTGTCTGTTTACGGTCAGCTCTGTGGGTTGTCACGGATACGTGTACACAAACCAACTTACCAACAGCTTGCAAAGCTGGATGAAGATGCATGGCCAAAAGAAAAGCCCACATTTCTGGTCAGAAAAAGAAACACACCTACTATACATTATGAAAGATTTGGATATCAACAGCTTTTTGCATATGCACAATATCATAATGTCGTCCTTTACAATAAGGTGGTTTAAGAGATGAAAGAGGGGGACTGTGTTTGCATAGTCCAACAAGGCCACAACTGGTTGGAATTTAAAAAAAAAAATGCTATTTTGACACAAAGAAGCAATATTACGCAAAATATAGTGGCTCAAGCCACTACACTTTACATATTTTGAAGTGATAAACAAAATGTTAGGGCAGGTTACTTGGAGTATGCACTTCTGCATGTAAACAGGAATATAAATAGAATATTCATTTTCATTAGCCATGTAAACAGCTTTTTGGGAATATTGTCCTTTTTGCAATATGGGCAGAAACTGGAATATTTTGTGCATGTAAACATAGTCATTGTGGTTGCTGCATTGACTGCAGATGTTTCAGTCTTTCAGATATACTTATAACATTGAGTAAAAACATGGCATGTCATACTTTGAGGATGCATGACTTGCACTCCATGGACATCTCCTGGTAGCCCTTCTGCTCCAGCTCCCATGCCCAGGTACTGTTCAACTCCTGGCAAACCTACAGGTAACAATGATTAGATAGTCACTCCATACAAGCCTGTTTGCACAAGTTAACTGTCTCAATGCTGATATGTTTGGTTTAATCTTTTCTCATCTGCTGACTACAAAACAAATAAGGCTCTAAAGTTAGTGGGACATTAACTCTATTCAAAGCTCCACAAGGTCAGAGCTTTCTGTACACATACATCTTTGTTATTGTCCTGCACTTAATGACAGACAGGGGGCTGTAACTGCATCTCATCCATGCCAACGAACACTTCCTGCACAGTTCATCTTAGCTGTGGGGCGTGGTCACAGATGAGAAACTTGAGCGCAAACCTGAGAACTGTCTGTTAAAATGTAGTAAGAGAGTACTCCATCCAGAGACAGCTAAACTTACTGATGGCTTGACCTCTTCAGTTAGCCATGTTTAATTATGTCAAGTGCAGTTCAATTGGAATATAAAGCCAAACACATTACAAACACACACATAGATGGAGCCCTCACCTTAGCCAGGTATTTTTCCCAGCGGTCAGCAGTCACAGATCTCCCCAGTTTTCTGAGCAGCTTTACGTGAAGCTCCACAAGAGGTTTAGGAACTGGAAAGCACACAGGATGATCAGAAACCTAACACTGTTCATCTTAATTTTTCACAAGTCACTAAAAGACCACAACAAACAGTTGTCCTACTAAAGTCTGCAAATGTAAAGCCAGTCAAGGAGTTGTTCCTGTAGTTGACCCCGATCTCTTACCTCCCTGTTTAGGAGGCTAAAGGGGAAAGATAATTTCCCTTCTGGAAATTAATCATATCACAAAACACATGAATAGGATTTCAATTTAAACACTGGCACTTTTATTTCATTTTTTAGCAGCTGTTGAAAATCAGTGAACCACTGGTGAAAAAGTAAAAAGCAAAATGACATTTATGATTCTAGCCAAGAATGTGAAATAAGTTCATACATACTAAAATCGCTAAGGCTGTACTGTAATCTCTGGGAGCTCATAAGCCAGTTTATCAGTGCAACTTAAATGCCTTGAGACAAAAAGAGAGACACACTAACAGTATCAATATTTTTTTTAAATAAACACTGCTCAGTGTTTCTGCTTATAATATGCATTATGTTCTCTGCACTGACATGGTCATTTATTTAAACTGTTTTATGCACTAAAAGTATTGTTAAGATAACTGGTGAGGTGCTTATGAATGTTTTATGTTGTTGACTCAGTGCTCGGTAAACAGATGTTTACTTTGTCTGTGGTTTTCAAAAATGCCTGCAGTCTCGCAGTTACATGTTTGATTTTCAGGAAAACATTCTACCTATTTTCCTATTCTAATGTCCGCCCCTTGGATAAGAGGTTCCCTGTTATCTCCCATATACAGTATAGTTGTGTAAAAGTAAACACAGTTGTGCAGATCAAGCTTAAAATTGGGTATTACATCAAATACACAATTGTGACTGCCACAGTCAAACTCCTTGTTGAAATCTAAAAAGAAAATTGCAGGATCATCTTCAAGGAGTTCATTGTTTGGCTTAATATTATTGCTTATTCTATGATTCTCCTAGAACCTGACTGACATTCATCAATTGTGTTTTCCAAATCTCAGACAACAAGCTTAGGTTAATGACAATATCTCATAGTCGTTCAATCAAGAGATCGGCCGCCAGTAATCAGTAACCAGTGCATATTTGTGTCATTTGCATGAGATATTTATCAGATTCCTGGATTGAGGCATTTTATCGCAGACAATTCATGCTAGACTGCAGCAAAACACACCTTTCCTTCCCCGTCTTTACTCTTTCAATCCGTTTTCTTTTTATTAACGTTGAAATAAATTATTGTTGTGTCAGGCGTTATGTTAAGTCTTTCATGATACTGTTAAGACTGTTCTGTGTATTTGTAAGTACACTAATAACTAAAAAATACAGCCTTGGGACTGGACAGAAACATTTTGAAAAGGGGGCTGTAATGTGTGATCTAATGTGAGACTTTTAAGGAACCCATGAAATTATAGGAAATTCCAGTCTTCTTTGCTGACATCGTGAACTGAAATTTTCTACGAATCCCGAAAAGACAAACACGGGTGGTCATGCCCGAGTCTGAAACAGCAGAGAAATATCGTAGATAACGTAACTACAGCATGAATATTAGCTGTTATGTCTAACTTCACTCTACGTAACGTTACGGTATGGAAGCTTACTAAACAACAGAACTAACGGTTCGAGGTAAAACAAGCTAGCTATCAAGCAAAACTGTCTCACACGGTTCGCACAGCAGCTAACACGAAAGCTACGAGTGTTAAACATCTCTGTCTGATGGACGATAACGCGGCAAATCAATTGTCCGTGATGTACTCTGACTAAAAGTTGACGAAATTCTTGATGCTAGCTGGTTAGCCAGCAGCCAGGGTCCCCATTGCGCCTGTGCAAATTTGACAGGCACTCTACCAATGGCCAAAAAATAACATCCCATGCTATTAGCTAACACTAATCGAGCACTTTGACAGTCCTCTAAAATGCACATCGAGAAGGGAAAAACATCAACACATATACACAGGGGACACGGATGTCACTCCAGTCCGAGTGCCTGCGAGGCAAGGCCGGTGAAAAATTACACCTGACAACACTCCGGAGCTAGCTGGTTGGCTGTGTGTGGTCACTAGGCAGTGCTGCATCATGGCTCCCACACCAAGTTTAGCGTTAACAAATCAATACATTGACAACATTATCGACGATCTGCCACTCGACTCTAACTACACTTACTCGGGGTAGCTTGCCAACATTTTTTACTCCCGTCTGAATCCGTTTCTTTTAACTTTAGTACAAACATAGTCCCAAGTGTGTGGAATTTGGAGTGGGGCTAGCTTTATGTTAGCAGTCTACGTTTTCTCCTGTCCAAATATTTCCTCAGAAACTTGGGCAAAAAACAGTTTCTCTTTCAAAGGAAACTGACTCTGACTCGGGCCACAGTTTGCCACAACTGGTGAAAGAGCACAGAAGCTCGCTGACTAAACTCCCGATATAATGCTGTTCTGCCGAGCCACACACTACATTTTTCGTCATCCTCATCATCCTCACGATGATGATGATGGTGGTGATGATGATGATGATGATGATGGTGATGGTGATGGTGGTACTGGTGGACCCCTTCTCCTTCGGTTTCAAGTGTCGCAGCTTTCTACCACTTCTTCGCCCCACCACCACCACCGCTAGCCACCGATCTCTCACCTGTCGTTGTGTCCCGCAGATACCTCTCCATCTGCGGGAAAGTCATCTCGGGCAGATCCAGCACCGCTCCGTATCGCTCCAGGAACGAACAGACCTCCGCGAAGCTCGGGCAGAGCGCCGGGCCGGAGCTTCTCACCACCACCGGAGCAGCCATCTTTCCAGGCGGAGAGAAACAGGAGGGGAGGGCTCGCTGCTTGGATGCGACTGTGTGCGAATGAAATGAATGGAGGGAGTGAAGCATCTTACCGGTGTCATTTCTGACAATACGAACGCACGCGGCTTCCGGCTACGCCTTTCCAAAATAAAACAGTCAGGAGGAGTGCAACCGAAAGTAAAGCATGCAGCCGACCACTTTAAGTTCTATGGAGTTTCTTAACATCATTTCCATTACATCATAGTGTTCAGTGTTAATATTTTTCATTTTTGTTTCCCAAAGACAGCGATTTCCAAAATAGGGTGCAGGAACCCTGAGATGTCCGTGTCACTCTGTCAGGGGTCAGTGAAACGTTTTCAGGTTCAATAATTAAATCATTATGATATAAAGTATTTTCCCAAAAGGCCTCATAGTTCAATAAATACAATTTCAGGTTTAAATTATAATAAACCCCTTTTCAACCACAAAAAACATCAAGTTCATACCAAATACATACCTAGTGTGCTGTGATACTTGTTAACTGTGATATTCTGATAGGTTATCCTACTGTGAAAATCCCAAACTGTTCCAACCCTAGGTGTGAATATTTTTAACACGTCTAATAACTTTCTAACACGTTTCTGTCCCCGCCCGGTATATTCTGTGTTTAACAAAAGCTCCTGACTGAAAAACAATGAAGAACCTTTGCTATATGATACTCATACCACGCCTTTATTTTAGACAGACAGTCTTTCCTTTTCCGGTAATATTGTACATATTTTAAGAAACTTGACGCAGCTGCGAGAAGTTGGGAGGACCAGGGAGGGCAGAGCGAGAAATGCCCAGAATCCAACGCGATGAAGCTACATCAAAAATATCTCAATGGTTTTTGGTTTTTATTCCTCAGACGTTTCTTAAATAGACTGAGCGGCCTCGTATATAATCACTTTTCACCAGTCTCCATTAAAAAATACAATTGTTATGTGTGAAGGTTGGATTCAAACTGACAATGAAATTGTCTTTATCGTGATTTGTTTTTTTATGTACAGATTTGGAGAATTAATACATGAAGCATGAACCCGTCTGTTCTGTACCCCAGTACTACTGTCCACTGCATGCTGCGTAGATAGTCACGCTGCCCATGAGGATGCTGCCTTTAGGGACTGTTGGAAATATCAGCTCATCAGAGGAAGAAATCCCAATTTACTCGAGTTTCTCTTTTTTTGAAACAGAACAGCGTTTATACTGTCTCTTTTTCTGCAAATTATCCCGCAACTCTTCAAATTTAAGTTCTGACACCATGGAGCAGTCCTGAATCCCATGTTGGGAATCGCTGCTTTTGAATGCTGGTCCCAATAAAAGCTCACAGTGACTGTTAGTTCTTCTCTACTAAATCTTAAAGCTGTTCTGCAGGGCAAATAGAGAGGGATCCAGAGGGAGGATGGCACCACTTGAATGCCAAACATATATTTGGGGATTAATGTTGTCAAAATACTGGGGGAAAATAAAAGAAATGCAGGATTGGAAACCACCCGACAATAACAGGAACCAAAACCTATTATCACTACAAACAATAACAGAGAAGAAGCCAGCTTCACCGTGATTGTATTGCCTGTGATTTGTTCTGCGTTTGTCGGCTGTTGTTTTTTAGCTTGGCCTTGACGAGCATGGGATAAATATTTTAGAGCACCGGGAAGTGACCACAGAACTGCAATGATTTGGGCATACATACAATAACAGAGAAAATCAGGTAACACAAATCAGGACAGGCAATACAGTCACACTGGAGATGAACGTTTGACACTGAAAGCTGAGTGCACAATATGCCTGTCACTAACTTGGCTTTATTCTCAAGAGCTCTGTTTTTATGCCCCTGACAAAAAGAAAAGATGTTGGTTTGTTCGTGTTCGTTCTTCCAGAATAGTGGTTTCCTAGATTTGCAAATTTACTGCGTTTCAACATTTCATGCGTGATAATGACAAAATGACTATAAGAGTTTCTTGTGTAGTGGTGAAGTGGACGTAAATTTACTGAAGTACTGTGGGCCTACTGCAGTGCAACAGAGAGTATTTTCATTTTATACTACTTTACACCTCTACTTTGTACTTGAAAAGCATACATATATCGTACTTTTTACTCCAAAACATTTTTAATAGCTCTAGTAACTTTTCAAATCAAGATTGTACATACAGAACACATGATCCGTTTATTAAATATGATCCATTGTTACTGATTCAACTACTAAAAATATGTAAATTACTTTAAATGAGCTCCACCTTGACTGATGACGACATTGAAGTGCTGCCTACATATTAATATTTTAGCAGTAAGTGTCCAATAGTATAGTAGAGTAACACTGACAAAGGCCATTTTGCTGTATGAGTACTTTAAGAAACCTACATGTTGTTGTTGATACTTCTGTATTTTTACCTCAGTTTTTAATGCAGGATTTTTATCTGTACCTTCAAAGGCTAGTGTAGTGTGTATCTATAATTACTGAAGTACATTATACTTCATCACCATTGTACTGTGTAATCGACTCCCTAAAATACAAACATACGAGCTCCATTTGAAGGCAGCATTGCAACTGGAAAATCAGAGCTCTCAATCTGCACCTGAAGGCATCCTGTTTTTCAGGAGGGACGGAAGAAGTTTTCTGTCTTACAGGAAGAAGAATCATTTTCAGGGTTGTGTTAGTGAATGAGTGGTCTGTGTCGCTGCTGAGCTCCACTCCTGGAAAACACCTTGAAGTTGCATTTGCTGCGGCCGAAGTTGTGATATTGCAGCCATGACATGCTAATAGACACATGCAAGTTAGTGGGAGCAGGTCGGAAGGTAAGTTTAAGTTAATTTTACCGTTTTACAGTGAATAATGAGCTAGCGTCAATATAAACCGAATAGCGGGAGTTTCTTTCGATCTCTGAAAACAACCGGCCTGTGATAAGTTAACGTTACTGAGACGCTTTTAAGTAAAGTCAATGTTACGGAAAAGCTATGGTAGAGTCTATTTATGCATGCATTTTCTGATTAGTCACACTCATCTTGTTAATAATACAGGATACTCAAAGGTAATCTAGCTTTCAAATCAAGTTTTCTTTTCTAAAAAATACTAAAAAAGGTTAGTATTTACTCCAAAATACAAAGATCCTGCTCCTGTTAAACAAAGAAGCCTGTTGATGTTGTGGGAAGACCATCACGAGTTGTTCATGCTTGGTTTTTATAAATCAACACACATGTTTCACCACATTTAACCTCGAGAAATTCCTACAAGAAATACCAACCAGAGCTGCATCCAAGTGGTGATGACTAAAACCGCAGGTCAGTGATTATTCACGGTTAAATAAGGCAAACAACCACCAGTCTGTTATGGCCACTAATACAGTTATTCAAGTTTTATTGTTTGTTTTGTTTTTGTGTAGCTTTAAGCTTGTTAGGAATAGGATCCTAGTAAAAAGCTATGAACCATATGAGGTAACATAAACAGACGAAACCACAGATCTGCATCAAAAATAGTTATCAATTCAAAAAAAAAGTTTTAGTTAAGTATAAAGCTATGCACTTTCTGTAAATGGGGAAAAATAAAATAAAATTATATGTTAAGTGAGAAATATTGTATTCAGCAACCTTGTTTTGAGGAAATACACATGGCCCTAGAAAGATAATGCATGAGAGGAATGGTAAATAAGGGACTGTTTGTACTTGCCTATCATGGAATTTAGCATAGCATTTAAGATTATAGATTATCAAGGGTAGATATGATATCAATCCATGCCCTCATTGTCTTAGGGCATGCTTTATTTTAACTGTTGTATCTTCCAAGTTTGCTAAAGTCAGATTCCAGTTTGATGGCAAAGAGAGTCTCTGAGTTCACCACATTTGTAAAATTGACTTTTTTGTAGCTATAAAGGATGCAAACAACAGCCTATGCTGATTAAGAGTTAAGGATGAAATTTCATTTAGAAGACCGAGATGGATTTGGATCGTAGCTCAACCCAGTCAAATCTGATGAAGAATGTTTAACAAATTTCCAAAAAAAAATGCTGTGGTTGAAATTTTGTATTGTTTCATTCTTCCTATGTGTCTGTAAGTGTGTTACCTTTGCATTCCCTTTTTGTAAGCATCTGTCGTTACTTGACATCATCAGAAGATTTACATTCACTTTAATCTCGTCTTCAAAGACAGTCCACTGACTGTCTAACAGATACAGCCGAATACCTAACGTGTTATATACTAGATTGCAACAGGTATGCTCCTCTGATGTAATCATGAGAACATAATTAAATCAGGAAAGCCCAAGAAAGCTACAGTTGATTTCTCATCATCTTGTCGTCTGAGTGTAGGTATAAAGATGCCCTGTATTCACTGTTCTGGGCACAAACTCTGAGCTCTGAGCCTGACGTTGCACCTTCTCTATAGAGAATAAACTCTTGTGCATGAAGCTATTCAGTCTTGTTTGCTGACTCTCCAAACAGATCGGCTAAAAATTGCCACGACATAGCAATAAGAGGGCAGTTCCAAAAACGTTTATAAAAATGTCCCTGAAGCATTAATACAGTAAAAAGTATAATTATAAGAAGTAACTAGATGCATTTATAACATATGTAAGGCATAGCATAGACCCTATGAATAACCTTAAAATGAATAAATTAGTGTGCAGAATATTTAGAAGTATATGATAGATTAGACCGTAATCCAATCAGGTTAATAACCATAAATCATAAACTCACTATCCCAGGTTTTCATTACCAGCAACACATCAGTATTTACCCCAAGAAAATGATTATATAAACTTGAAACCAAACCACAAGAGCAAAAGCCAGCAGACATAATCTTGTGATTAACTCAGTACTTAACCAGACTATTTGTCAAGTAACCACACATTGTTTACCTGATGCCTTGCTTTGCATTCTACAAATGACATTTGCCTGGCAAAAAGGCAAAAGCAGCTCAAGACAGAGTGGGAGAAGGAATGCGTGAGCTAATCAAAATATCTGATCATGTGCTGCAGATAACAGAAGAGAGGAGAGATGGCCATCGCCCATGTGGCTACAGAGTATGTGTTCAGCGATTTTCTGCTGAAGGACCCGAACCAGGCTAAGTACCGCAATGTCCGAACTGAGCTAGCGGTGGACAAGATGGTGACCTGTGTGGCAGTGGGCCTGCCCCTCCTCCTTATCTCTCTAGCCTTCGCTCAAGAAGTCTCAGTAGGTAAGTGAGAATATAGAGCCAGGGCTAGAGTCAAGACCACAAAAATTGTTTAAAGACCAGATCTAGTCTATTTTAGGTCTAGACTGCAGGGTTATCTTAGGAAGGAGGCTATGAACACCTGGCTGAAGTAAAGCTAAACTGCAGATTCAGGTTCACGCCAAGGCTAACTGAAGGCTGATCATGGCTGAATCCAAATGTCCATCTCTGGACTTGTGGACTGAGCCCTTGCAGACTTCAGTCGTACGTACTGTGACATGTTCACTGTCATCACATAAAGTCTGTGATGGTGAGAGACTGCAAGCTGCTGACAGTCCTTAAGTCTGTTTCACTTGTTGCCTTGGAAATGTTCAAGCAACAACTACAGTTATACATGATGATCATTGTTGTCATATTCCTCACACAAGTTGATGAATACTGTCTGCTCATCTGTCCCTGCAGATAACAAGATATAAATCCCATATATAGGTTTTTTTGTGACTGAACAAATTAAATTTGTATACAACATATAGGCAGCACACATTTAAATACAGAAATGTTTAAAAAATAATGACTTTGACTAATTGAACTGGGTTGCTATTACATTCATTGGAAGACCTTCTTTTGTTGTTTATCAGTCAGATTTCTAGCCTAGATATTTAGCATCACACTGCACAGCCTATGCTTCTACGTATTTATGCAACATTTTGTGACTCACAGACTTCTCAGGAACACGCCCGCAAAGTCAGCTAGTCTGCAAGTGTGGTGAAGTGTGGACATTTGGATTCAGCATAGTTAGACAGGGCAGCTTGATGTGCTCTAGATTAAACCACAGACCTGAAATGTCAAGCACAGAACACATCAACTAACAATGAAGAGGGGAATTATAGAGAGATCTGCTATATTAACAGCCACAAAGCAGCACACACTGAAGAAATGATATGAATACATAAGATATCTTGAGGGGAAAAAAGGGTAAATCCATCGTTACATGAAATTTGAACCTTTTGCATACCTTTTTAAAAGGTTCAATTTTTTTTACAGATTACACACACACAGGCCCGAAATACACACACGCACAAACAGGACCTACATACATGCATTAATGGAGAAATTTCAGAGCAAGGGGGGCTGCCCTTGTACAGTCGCCCCGAGCAGCTGGGGGTTCTGTGCCTTGCTCAAGGGCACCTCAGTAGTGCCCGGGAGCATGAACTGGCACCTCTCCAGCTACCAGTCCACAATCCATATTTGCTTTGTGTAGGGACTTGAATCAGTGACCCTCTGGTTCCCAAACTAAGTCCCAAAGGACCGGTTTACTGCTAATGAACCACCTAACTTATTTTTCATTTTTTTGAGTTAGAATAGTAAAAATAAAGTTTTCACTCTTACTCCAGTAACTTACTCTCAAGTTTTTGCGTGTCTTTTTCTGTCTATGTGTTTCTCTCAGGTACTCAGATCAGCTGTTTTGCTCCTACTAACTTCTCCTGGAGGCAGGCTGCTTATGTCGACTCGTATTGCTGGGCATCTGTACATACACACACTCTACCTCTGTGGCTGCACAAGGTACACACACACCTACACACATATACAGGGTTACAGTTGCTAAGGCTATTCAAATGTGAAATTGTTAGGCATTTGTTTGATGATTAAAACAAGTCCACACACATGTAAAAATGCTTTAAAGCACCTTCTAGCAGAACAGTAAGGCAGGTGTAGGCTGCTGGAACAGACAGACTCATTAAAATATGAGTCATCATGTCATGAAGTAATAGTACAGGTATTAAAAAAACATGCCATGCTGCATGGTTTCATAAAAGGCCACCTTAAATTTTCTTTCAAAAACAAAAAAAGTTAGCTTTTAACAAGAACCAGTTGTTAACCTGGTTAAAACCGAGAGTACAGGATTTTTTTAAACACAGCAGTAAGTTACAACGTTGTTTTGTTTAAAATCATTATAATGTGAGTTTTCTCTATAATGTGGCGTTTCCTTGCACGATGTATTTAACTGAAAGTAGTGCAATAGGTAAAATTTCAATCTTGCACGTGCAGTTCTTGTTTTGTGATTTGAGGGTGTGGTTGAGAATATATTTATGAAGATTTTGTTGGCTAGGGAGAAGCTAAGAGTGCATTCATGGGTGTGTGTCCCTACATTCCTAAACTGATCTTACTGTATTAGCAGCAGCACTGACGTAGGGTTCCCACAGTCAAAGAAAATCTGAAAAAGCCATGGAATTTCACAATCTAATTTCTCAGGAAAGTCATGGAATAAGTATTATTGTAATCACTGAAAGTTTTGGAAAAGTCCTGAAATCTTTGTTGCATGTAATGACATTAATTGTTGCAGTAATCTACGTGGATAATCTTCCACTCACTGTAACATATTGGCAAATTTTTATCTCTATCTGTTGATGTAAATGTAGCTTTAATACGCGTCAGTGCATCAAGTTTACCATCATGCAGGGACAGCGCTACACCGGGGCTAGGGGGTGCTATAGCCCTGTCAAAAATCTGTGTAGCCCCAGTTAAGCCCCTCAAGCATTTTATTTTATATTTTATAATATATATTTTCAAGTTAAAAATCATTAAGAAGTTCACAAGTAGCCATTCTGTTCCAATGCAATCCCCACTTGCATGTTTGTGCTGCGCCTGTACCCCATTGATTGGTGTACCATAACCTGTGTGTGTGTGTGTGTGTGTGTGTGTGTGTGTGTGTGTGAGTGAATGAATGTGTGTGTAAGAGGGGAGAGGAGGGGGAGTCTTTGGTTTATACTCGTGCGTTAGGCTAAGGCTAGCTAGCCTACAGTCAGTTGCAATGGATAGTTTTGTAATCAAGAAAAAAAGAGTGCAGGTAGAAAATGAAGACCAAGACCCAGTCTCAGTCTCCCAGTGGGACAAAGAAGAAGAGGGAGTTTCGAAAAAATGAGTCTGAGAGAGGAACTCGTGAGCCAGGACCTGAAGGAGCTCCAGAGCAGTCCATCGCTGCTAGCTGCTCTACAGCCCCCGTTAGCTGCACTGCTGACACAGACACCGCTCCCTCTGATTTAAGCCAGTCACCTGTTGATAAACCATGGCGGCCTCTTCTTCGGCGTTATCCAGCCACGAAAGTTGGACAGCAGGATCACTACTTCAATCGTAGATGGTATGAGGATTACAAATGGCTGGAATATTCATGTTAATTATGCATATGGAATAAATACACTTGCTGTCGCATTTTGGATGTATTGTCTGGTTATTGGCAGGCGCATGGGCACTGTCCGGTGCTGTCCGGTGCTGAATCTGTCACCTTTGCATGTGAAACATTTTTGCCATTGCCTTGTGGTTACTTGTATTAGGCTTAACTACTTTGTTGGATATTCTTTGGCCAAATTCAGTTATAACCACTTTTATATTGAACATGCTTATGCTGTGTATCATAGCTGCTTTTATTGGAAAAAACAAGAACCTCCTTATAAAGTCACTGAAGTCATGAAAATCAATTTCTTAGCACCCCCACATATCGGTCAAGCTCCCCCTTAGCCCCGGGAGAGAAAAAATCCTGGTGCCGTGCCTGCCATTATGTTCATTTCTTCATTTTCTTCCCACATTCTGTCTCTCCGTCCATGTCTGCCAATAATATGGAATTCTATCTAAGAAGAGTTTGAATCTGATATGTTGGAAAAAGAGAACAATAATGTTGTGACAGTGTGATTTAACGTGTTGGGTCATGAATTCCAAAGTTTCTATACCTATGCTATGCCACACTACTGTTAAATTTTACTGCATTTTTTAAATGGAACAATATTCATGTTATACACAGTCAGTTGGCATGGGAATTTTAGTACTGATCCTTAAAAAGTCATGGAAAAGTTTTAAAATTTTGTTCATGAAAATGTGCTGACATTAGAATGGCCTTGCTAATACTACATAAAAATGTTCTGTAGTGACATGCAGTAAAGTGACAGATCATTTACAGCTTGAACTACTGTCCAGCTACACTGCAGAGTGTTAAACTTTGTCCTTTCACGTATGATACTGAAATAATTTGCTTCCTTTCAAATCACTGTATCACCCTTACAAGGCGTTTCCTATATTTTATTTTATATATTTTATATTTTGTATTCAACCTCCAAAACTTAAAGCTGTGGTAACTTTGATTACAAAAAGAGCTTTATGTCATATTATCTGAAACTGTCTCTATATTCATACAGCACTAAATGAGACATATCAAATATGAATCAAAATTCTGTTACTGCATAGCCTATTTTCAGCTCGAATGTTTTCAGAAACATATTATAGCGTTTTGTTACCTGTTAAATGAGAAAGCTTGTGACCCGGCTCCCATGTTGGAGACAGTCAAACTGAAGTAAAACACTGCCCAACAGCTGAACCAAATTTCTCATCTTAAAAATCATTGTAAAACCAAAGGGAAACAGTGATCATTACTGCAGTAAAGATTGTGTGCATGTCTGCTAAAGATAGAACAGTGATTACTTGGCTTTGATAGAGACTTGGATTTTTGTCTGGCTGTGTTCGCATCTCTCATGTCAACCGTATAAGTAGGAATGTTATTGCTAATAATTTGATCTACCATCGCGTCTCTTCTCTGCAGTTCTTTCCCTACATTCTGTTGCTGGTGGCTGTGTTGATGTACACCCCGGCGTTGTTCTGGAGGTTTTCTGCTGCACCCCTCCTGCAGTCAGACCTCGGCTTCATCATGGAGGAGTTGGACCGGTGTTATAACCGCGCTGTGACTCTGGCCAAACGCATGGCCACCTCAGGACTGCTCACCCCAGACAGGTACGGTAGGACACCTGAAGTCCACTCAAATTTGCAGAGAAAACTGGTTGCTGTTAGTTTGCTTCAGATTTTGCATCGCAGAAAGAAACCGGTCAGTGCAGTTGTGAAATATATGACATGTGGTCCCTTGCTATGCTGATTCTCAAAACCAGCTTATAACCAGCAATTATCTCTAACTCAATTCTGGCCCCAACTTTTTGACAAAAGCACACATTCATAGCTCTCAAATATCCTGCTTATTTTATACACAGCTGGCACAGTGTAAATAGCACTGATTATTTGAATCTTGTGACAGGACACTGGGATTGTTACTGACCTTCTACACACTGGTGAACTTTTACAAAAGTTTCCAGGTTCACACAGTGACATTATTTTGGAGATTCGCTGGTGTCTTTTCCCCACTTTTTAAAAAAAAGAACAGCACGGTCCGGTCAACAACTTGAGTGAAAAGAGCAAAAACAAGCTCTCCAAGATTGTTAACATTGCACGGAAGGTGATTGGCGAATCACAGAAACAACTCTGCAATATATTTGACAGTGCTGTACACAAGAAAGGTAAATATATAATTACAGATACCTCACATCCATTACACTCAGAGTTTGAGATGTTCCCATCTGGCCGTTGATGTAGGGTTCCAAGAACCAGCCGAAACAGTCTTAAATTCCCTGAGCACAGAGTGATTGCATCAGTGAATGCTCTTATTTTATTTGATTATTTATATAACTGTCTGTCTATCTGTCCATCTATCTCTATCTCTCTCTCTCTCAATTCAATTCAATTCAATTCAATTCAGATGGCTTTATTGGCATCATGAGGTAACACTGTACATATTGCCAAAGCAAGCGTTTGGAATTCAAAATAATAATAACAATAAAGGAAAACAATATTTACAATAAATTTGTTATAATCTATACTGTTGGTAATACTGTATGTATAATATGTATAACTATGATTGACTCAATCACAGTCATAGTCACATTCAATCAATCTCAGTAATAACAATAATAATAATAACAGTAATAACAAAAAAAGAAGAAAACAACAAACAACAAATATGTGTGTCACTTCCTGTCTCTCAGTCTATGGCAGGCACAAAGATTGTGGAAGTTTGTGTTGAAGTTGTGTGTGTGTGTGTGTTGATGTTGGTGGTAGTGTGTGTGTGTGTGTGTGTGTGTGTGTGTTGATGTTGACACGAGAAATAAATGAATAAATAAATAATTAAGAATGAAACAATTAAAAACAATTAAAAAGAAGAAGTCAATAGTGAGTTGTGTTTGTCAGGTTCCACTGGCTGTCCTCAGGTTGTGACATGAGATGATGAATTTAGCTGCAATGTTCTCACATTTGGGTATTTCCCCAAATAAATATGGGAGTTTCTCCATGTCTGTCATGTTTTCAAATTCAGGGTGTATTTGTATTATTTTGGGAAAGTGTTCATTTCTCAGAGCCTGGTATTTGGGGCATGAGGTGAGGAAGTGTAGTTCTGACTCGACCTCTTGTCTATCACAGTGGGAGCAGAGTCTCTCCTCCTCTGGCAGCCAGCTCTGTCTATGCCGACCCTTCTCTATAGCTAGGCTGTGTTCACTGAGTCTGTACATAGTCAAGGCTTTTCTTACTTTAGGATCTTTTACTGTGCTCAGATCATTTGCTAATGTGAAGTTTCTTTTTAGGGTCAGATAACATTTTAATTTACTCTGTGTTTTAGTTGTTTCCTTCCAGTATGTGATATAGATTTCTTTTTGTTGGTTGATAGTTTGGTTTGGTCTGATTGGCTTGGTGTTGTGGTCCCGAGGCTGTCCGGGGCATGTTAGGTTGTCTGGACAGAGCCTCAGGACCAGCTGGCTGAGGGGGCTCTTCTCTGGCTTCAGCTCTTGGCAGGTTAGGGCTTTGTGATGGTATGTCTGGGGGTCACTAGTTTTTAGGTGATTGTAAAATTTAATTGCTCTTTGTTGTATTTTCAATATGAGGGGGAATTGGCCGAGTTCTGCTCTACATGTGTTGTTTGGTGTCTTTCTCTGGACGTGCATGATGTTCTTACAGAACTCTGTGTGGAAAGATTCTATTATTGTTTTGTCCCATTTTTCAAATTCATGATTTAATTTTGGCCCCCAAATTTCACTGCCATAGAGAATTATCGGTTCTAATACAAATTGGAAATCTTTAGCCAGATTTGAATTGGAATGTCCAGTTTGATATTTCTTGTAATTGCATAGAAAGCTCTCCTTGCTTTGTCTCTCAGATCTTTCACAGCCAAGTTGAAGCTTCCTGTGGAGCTTATGTTGAGGCCAAGGTATGTGTAGTTTTTTGTATGTTGTAATTTAGTGGTGTCCAAATAGAAATTGTGTGTGTTTTCCTGACTTCTGGACTGCTTCTGGAAGATCATAATTTTGGTTTTCTTTGGGTTAACTGTCAGGGCCCAGGTCTGACAGAATGTATGCAGGAGGTTGAGGTGCTGCTGTAGACCTTCTTTTGTTGGTGACAGCAACACCAAGTCATCTGCGTACAGGAGACCCTTCATTTCTGTGCCATTCAGGTTGAGGCCAGGTGCCGTGGATTGATCTAATTGACATGCAAATTCATTAATGTATAAATTGAAGAGGATTGGACTAAGATTGCATCCCTGCCTCACCCCACGACCTTGGGAAAAGAAGGCTGTTTGTTTGTCTCCTATTTTAACTGCACATTTACTGTTTGTGTACATAGATTTAATGACATCATATGTTTTTCCTCCAGTGCCACTGTTGAGTAGTCTGTAGAAAAGGCCCTCATGCCAGATGGAATCAAAGGCCTTTGTGAAATCAACAAAACATGTGTAGACCTTTCCTTTCTTCTTGTCTGAATCAGGGTGTGGAGGGTATAGATGTGGTCTGTTGTGCGAAAATTTGGTAAGAATCCAATTTGGCATTTATTCAAAACATTTTGGTCATTGATAAAACTGATGAGTCTTTTATTCATAATGTTGCAAAAGGTTTTTCCCAGGTTACTATTTACACAGATCCCACGGTAATTATTAGGGTCATATTTATCTCCATTTTTATAAAGGGGTGTTATTAAACCTTTATTCCTTATGTCAGGAAAAGTGCCAACTGCTAGAATTATATTAAAAAGTTTGAGTATAGCCAGTTTGAATTTATGGTCAGAATATTTGATCATTTCATTTAAGATGTTGTCGACTCCACAGGCCTTTTTAGCTTTCAGGGACTGGATGCTTTCCGTCAGTTCCTGCTCTGTTATTGAAGCATCTAGAGGGTTTTGGTTGTCTTTGATTACTAATTCTAAAGTTTTCCACTTGGCGTGTGTTTTGTTTTGGTCGCTGTTCTTTGTAATATTGCTGTATAATTCAGTAAAATAATTCATCCAAATGCTGCCATTTTGTATTGCCAATTGATCTTGTTGTGTTTTGTTTAGAGTGTTCCACTTCTGCCAGAACTGGTTTGACTCTAAAGATTCTTCTATTTCAGAGAGCTGGGTTCTGGTGTGTTGGTCTTTCTTTGCTCTCAGTGTGCGTTTGTATTGTTTCAAGGTGTCGTAGTAATGAAGGCGTATATTTTGGTTATTTGGGTCTCTATGTTTTTCGTTTGATAACTTCCTTAAAGTTTTCCTTATATTTTTGCAATCATTGTCAAACCATTTGTTATTGTGTATTTGTTTTGGTTTTTGATTAGAGGTTTTCAAGTTTGATAACTTTGCCAATTTATCAAAAATTGCGTTAATTTTGCCCACAGCAGTGTTTACACCATCATTATTGTGGGGAAATATTTCAGAAAGAAATAAATCGATTGAATATTGGATTTTGGCATTTTCAAATGCCTTTTGGTAGCTCTCCATGCCGTCTGATTTCCATCTGTATGAATGTGTGGTGTTGTACAGTTCACTGGGTTTAGAGGCCTCATAGTTACTGTGTGCCCTCTTCAGATAGACCGTGATCTTGCTGTGGTCCGAGAGGGGTGTGAGTGGGTTGACTGTGAAAGCTCTGAGAGACATTGGGTCCAGATCTGTTATGGCATAGTCTACCGTACTACTGCCAAGAGCTGAACTAAATGTGTCACGGCCCAGAGAATCTCCTCGTAACCTACCATTGACTATATACAGACCCAGCGTGCGGCAGAGCTGTAAAAGCTGGGTACCATTTGTGTTTGTAATTTTATCAAAACTGTGTCTTGGGGGGAGTTCGGGGAGAGGAAAGCAGGTTTCTCCAGGTAGGCCTAAGTGCTGATCTCCCTGGATGTTTACAGTGTCAGCTTTCTCTCCAGTTCTAGCATTCAGGTCTCCGCAGACTAGCACGTTTCCTAAAGTTTTAAATTGGTTTATTTCCCCCTCTAGAGTGGAAAAAACATCTTCATTGTAGTAGGGGGAATCTGAGGGGGGTATGTAAATAGCACATAGGTAGACATGTTGGTCTGCACTTATTACTTCTTTGTTAATTTTCAGCCAAATATAGGATTCTGCTTTTTTGATAATTTGAATTGAATGGGTTAGTTCTGATCTATATCAAATAATCATGCCTCCTGAGTCCCTACCCTGGGTTACTGTTTGGAGTTTAATTGATGGGATAATAATCTCAATGTAACCACAAGGACAACCAGTGGAACTGTCTTCTCTGTACCATGTCTCTTGTCTCTTCTCTCTCTCTCTCTCTCTCTTGTCTCTCTCTCTCTCTCTCTCTCTCTCTGATACAGAGGTTGTTTTACAACTTTGAATTGTTTTCCCTAAATAAATAAGGAGTGATACTTTGCATTTGGGCTCGTACATTTTTTTTTACTTAAGAGAGCCTCAGAGATTAAAGTGTGGACATAAAACTCAGCTAACATCAAAAATCTTAATTAATCCTCATGTTCTGTCTGTAGTAACACAGGTCAGCCCATTTGTAGGAGGGTGCTACTAGAACATTTGATTTGTTACCTCCACCAAGGAGGTTACAGGCAGGATAGCAGAAATACTACAGGCCTGATTTTCATGAACCTTGGTGGAAGTGTGAAGGATGGACCAAGGAAGAACACATTAAAATTGGAGTAGATCTGATTCATGGGGCAGATACATGAATTATTAATAGTTTAGTCAACATTGCATCATAGGGCATTTTGCCGTGGCAGAGGTCTGTACTGTCCAAGTGCCCTTACAGCGTTCCCACGGTCATCACATACCTAGAAAAGTTATGTTATTATAAAAACTCTTCTCCAGGCCTGGAAATGGTTTGGAATTAACAGAATGTTTTTGATAAATGTTGAATATACATTGTTTTGGCTTTTGTTTAAAAGGTGTTCATAAAAACCCCAAGAGAAATACATTCATTACATTAGGCCAAAAGTAATTATTAGACAAAACAAACGTTTGTTTAACAAGAAAAAAATACACACACGTGTCAAAATTGTAATCCAAACACACGTCAAATTGCATTGACATCAGTAGGATCTTCGGTTTTCTATCCCCCGCAAAGTGCCCATATATGCCTGTCTGGTCTATTGGCAGTGGACGTATGCAGCCCGTTGATGGCTGGAATGTCTAATGAGTAAGTTAAGTTAGTAAGTGCTAGCAGTTTGCTTATCCACAAATGCCTGTGGAGTGTGTGTTTAATAATGTGTGGCTGTATCGCTATGCAGGCCTTTCAGTTCATTGTTAATCATGAGAACCTATAATTTGTTGGGGCGGCAGTAGCTCAGTCCATAGGGACTTGGGTTGGGAACCGGAGGGTCGCCAGTTCGAGTCTGGACCAAAATATGGAGCGTGGACTGGTGGCTGGAGAGGTGCCAGTTCACCTCCTGGGCACCGCCGAGGTGCCCTTGAGCAAGGCACTGAACCCCCCAGTCGCTCGGGGCGCCTGCCAAAGGGCAGCCCCCTCACTCTGACATCTCTCCACTTTGTGCATGTATAGGTCCTGTTTGTGCATGTGTGTATCTTTCAGACCTGTGTGTTAATGACAAGCAAGAGTGAAAACATTGAATTTCTCCTCAGGGGGATTAATAAAGTAAATAAACTTAAACACAAGCTCAGTTTTCTATAACTTTGATTTAGAAATTAGAAAATGATTTATCTCACTGCTACATTTAAAATACAATACAACAGGGAACTACCATTTAAAATCCAAGCTGATAAATATGCTGATGAGTTTCAGAGACAGGGACTTCTGGGGAGGATGAAATATTTACTTGTGCCTCATTTTAAAGATGCTACATGTAGCATTCTCTAACAGACAGACCAGGATTATTCCTACTTAATGCCGACTAAATATCAAGTGATCTCTTGATCTTGCCATAGTTATTAAGTTAACCAGTGAAATCACTTTTTAATTCTTCAGTGTTCTTTCTCTGCTCCTCTATTCTCATGACCCAGCGACCCCACCGAGGGCTGTTTCAATTACCCGCTGGTGGAGAAGTTTCTGATGACCAAGCGCTGCTCACGGTCAATGCTATTTTACTACCTGCTGTGTCGCGGCCTGACTCTCATCACCCTCCTTTGTGCCTGCATCTACCTGGGCTACTACCTCCGCTTGGCCTCCGTCACAGATGAGTTTGGCTGCACACTGCGTGTTGGCCTGCTTGCCTCTGACCCAGGCGTCCCCGACAAAGTGCAGTGTAAGCTCATCGCTGTGGGAGTCTTCTCTTTGCTGAGGTATTTGTCTGTACAGATTGTGTCCACCTTTATAATGGTTCCCTTTTCCAGTTAATTCCTTGGTTTTTGTCATGTGACTTTGTAACATCTTCCAGAGAAACTTCATATGTTTTCTCACAAAAATGTTTTGATTCTGTTTAAATCACTACATTTTATGAGGAGTTCTGGCCATACTTCCTCTCTGCATATCAAACTTCAGTCTGTTTCTTAAACTGTTTGTTTCCAGCATGGTCAACTTGGTCCTGTTCATAGCGCTGATTCCTGTGGTGATCTATGCCAGTCTCCGTCCCCTCTTCTGCCATGGATATGCCCGCTTCCTGGAAACCTACCAGTCACTGCCCACTGTGAGCGTGCTGCCCACCCCTGGTGGCCAATTGGACGATCTCTCTCTCTATATCCTGTTTCTGGAGGAGAACCTCAGCGAATTGAAGTCCTACAAATACATCAAGGTGTGTTAGTGTGTATTCTGTGTTTGTCTTCAGGGCTGTTTTCGAAATCACTCCCGATTTATTATACGCTGTACTCTATTTAGTGTATGCCATTTTATTTGAGTTTGGGAGAAATTTATGCTCTGCAGAGTGCTGTCAAATATTCCCACATCGAAGCAAACGATGCCGAAAAATCCCCACGTGTGTCACATTCTATAAATGAAAACCAACAGTTGTGTGTCTCTATAGTTGTCAGTAATGAAACAAAATGATGATTCATAAGTGTCAGAATTAAGCAATAAGCCACAAGAGGCCCTGGTTTACAGTGATTTAAAAGAACTAAGTGTTGTTAGGTACAACGCAGAGCGGAGTTCCTGTTGCAATATGGAGCTAAAAATATTCACTCCCATGGGCTCTACCTAAAATTACATTGTTAACTTACCCTAGATCATTGGTGTCATTTGTCCGCTTTGATGGACACAGAAGGCCAGTGGATAGGGCAGCCGCAGTGAGAGGAATTTCTTTAACAAAGCAACAGGACACAGTGGGTTCTCTGGCTGCTCAAACCCAAATCTCTGTTTCTTTCACTGACATCTTTGTGGGTTTTGTGTGCATTCATTGAATGACAGCGTTGCAAATTTTTGACCATTCTCATCCAGGCAGATGTGAATAATTCAGGCTTCAGTCGGCAGTTGCCCTCCTTGGCTCTGCATCTTATTTGCAGCTGCACATCGAACCAAACTTTGTTAATAAGACCCTCAGGTATGTTTGGATTCAGTGCCTGAGTGTGCTTGATTTTCTGAAAGTCTGCCTTTGTAAATGCTCGGTGACGGGATGTTTTGTCGCATCCTTCTCTGCGAACTTTATTCACTGCTCCAACGTCAAACAAACCACATTGTCTGTTTAACAGTCCCAGCTTCATTTCTTTACATTTCCAGCTTGTTAATTTCTTTCGTTAATTTCAGCGCATCTCCTGTCTTATTACTGTCCATCTCGTCAGCCACTTCTCCATGCTTAACTCACCAAGAAGATCAAAATTCACAACAAAATCCTCCATTTTAAATGGCAGTTAATTGGCGGAGTAATACTGTAGTCATGTGGTCATAGCTGTGTGCGTATATAGAGTATTTTACAGTGGCTTCGAACGCAGCTCAACCAATCATAATCAAAGATCAAAACTACTAGTTTTATGAATCTGTTTACTTGTCACTATAGAGTGAACTACTGAGTTTGAATCAATTATTTGGGAAGGAGTGAATGAGGATACTAGGACTGATTTCAGACACAACCCACCTCTGATCAGGTGAAAGATAATTATCTTCTTTTTTTTCTAGGACCTACAATTATGTCACTTAGTTTTAATCTTATTTTTTTGCTAGGCTACATACTGTGTCTCTCAATGTGATACTCAGACAACCAAAAAAGTGGGGCATACACTATAACACAATAGTGTAAATAGTAGTAATGTACAAATTTAAGTTTTAGTAGTTTAAAACATACAGAATTATTTTCAGCCATCCCTTTTTTTAAAAAATCTGTTAATTCTATATGTTTTGTGACTGTAGGTGTTGGAGTTGTTGAGGAGACGTGGCGATTGCTCTGGAGAAAACTTTGATGCCATGGGTCTGCTGCAGACCCTCTGCCTGGTGAAGATGGACAGTGTGGATGCGAATAAATCTTCCGGTGCTGCAGGGAAACGGGATCAAGTCAAGACGAAAGCAGCCGACTCTGCCGCCAGCTCCACAGCAGCCAATGCTGGAGCAGCAAAGAACAGCTGCAACCATCCGAAATCAGCCGCAGATAACGACAGCAAAATTGAAACTGAGATGAAAGGTGAGCACAGAGGGTATTTTATGAGGGATTAAAAATCACATTTTAAATTGAGAAAAAAGGTTTGGCATAGTTCTTTTTTGATAACATTATATTGTCTTTTAATATACACGTCCTTTAAAGTGATTTAAGGTTTTCAAAACATGAAACGAGATACAAATTTGGTTTACTTAATATTATCGTGCAATTTAAACAATGAACTTCATTTTGTGTGTATTAACTTGACATCAATTTAATGGGTATGAAATTTATGTCCTTTTAATGTACTGTTAGCTTTATTATTATCAATTCATTCCAGCCATAAATCTATCTTTTTATTAATCTCACAGATGGTCTAAAGTCTGTATAAGAGGTTGTAACCATCTGTAGTTTATTACTTTTAAACTGTGCCACCTTAAAAAACTAGTGTGCATAAAGACATATGCTAATCTTGTGTCTCCTTGTAGTTTTACAACTTTTTGTTTGCAGGAAATTTGAAGGGAAGGATGAGAAAAGACAGGAAACAGAGAGTCAAAGGGGGAGGATAAGGTGTAGGCAGCCAGCAAAGAGCAACAGTGGCAATTACCTCAACCCAACAGAACCTGTTTCCTGAGCATGCTTGTCATTTTCCAGAATGCAAACAGTACTGTTTGACAGCACAACATATGATAGAATTAAGTTTTACTTTCAGTGTTTGACTTTGAGGGTTCTGCTCCCAGTGGGGAGTGGAGATTATTTAGAGTTTTAGAAAAAGAAATGATCTAACATCCTTAAAAAATACTTGATTGTTCTCTATTATTTGTAGGTTTTCAAAGAGTCACAAAAACGAGCTTTTCCACTCTCTTACAAAGTTAGATGAATAGGTCGATATCACTCTCACGTTACAGTGGGGGAAAAAAATCGTTGTCATTTTTACACTTTTGTTGTTGTTGTTTTTTAAGTGAGCTTTAGACGTGCTGGTAGACAATGTTTGTCAACATTAGACTGAGCCAGGCAAGCTGTTTTCCCCTGTTTCCAGTCTTTATGCTCCAGCTACAAATTTCCCTGAAGACAGAGGCTGTACAGATCATAAAGTCTTCAGGCCACATTAATAAACCTGAACTGACTTCATACATCTGTACACAAAACCCCCAATAATAATTCAATAACATGTAAAATTATTGATCTGTTTTCAGAGCTCTCTCCCTTGCTGCCAGGAAACTGCGACGTAACAGGCAGTAGAAGCATCCAGGAGGAGACTCTGCGGCAGCGAGTGGTGTGATCTGCTGCTGGCATGGCGACGGAGACCTTGACAAAGGGGTTTCCTGAGGGAAATAACATCACCACTATCCCATGGTGTATCCACAAGTCATGACCTTCCTGTCCTAATGGAGGGATGAAAAACAATGGGATGGGAGAGTAAAGTACTATCCTCATCAAAGTTCATCTCTTCTTCTAGTCATTCATCAATGTGGGATTCACAACCACATGTTTTTGGTCCCTTTGCTTGAATGTTGTTGTTTTTGGAGTGGTTTAAGGAGCTGTTTTGTTTTGTTTTGGGTTTTTTTTTTTGTCTAATACAGTGGTTCTCAACCTTTTTCCTTTTTCGTGTTAAGGAGCCCTAAATTGATACACATTAGGCTGCAGACTCCCATTTGATAAGATTTTGCTTCAGAGATCTCTGCCTAAAAGGATTTTGGTTCTATTTCTATAATAATCAACTACAGTTGAGGAGATAACCATGAAGGAAGTGAAATATATGATCAGAAGAATAACTCTTATGACTCATACTTATATTGGTCCCACTTCTATAGAAAATTAAATAGTCAAAATAAAATATTCCCTATTTTTTTCATCTTTCTGAAGGACCTCTCCTCTGACACAGCACAAAAAAAGAGAGGAAGTGAGCACTGGGTGATGTAACACTACACACTGGGAGATGACAGCAAAGTAAAACTCATGGTGGTACAGATTACGGGAATCATTGAATGTGTCGAACTATTAAGGACTTATCCAAATAATTGTTTTGTTAATGGTTAAAACCAAATAGAATAAGAGTAGAACAGACATTTCCATTAAAATCAACATAGCAGGATGGTCAGAGCGTTGACAATGCAGCCGTTTTGGTAGGCTAACTTCTGTATATACAAAACGACCGGCGCCAAGTCCTGAAATCACTGAGGTGAGGTTTATGGGCTCACAACCAGATGATCAGTGGAGTAGTACCTTTTCAAATAAGCATTCATTCATTCATTTTATTCATTTCATTCATTACCCATACTGCTTATCCTGTTAAGGGCCACGGGGGGGGCTAGAGCCTATCCCAGCTGACACTGGGCGAGAGACGGGCTGCCTTGTTACCTTTGAATGAGCCATTTATACTTGAAGTCCATGTTGCACCGCCATGTTTCTACAGTGGCCCAGAACAGAGAAACCAAACACTGGCTCTAGACAGGGACATATGCCTTTTCACATCAGCCACTGTAGTAAGCAGCCCATCTGTGACAAGAGTATCGAAGAAACACAGATTTTTTTTTAAATGTAAAACTTTTTTACTCATTGTTTTTATCGGTTTAAGTTACTGGGTCTGTTTGTTTTGAAGAGGAAGCGACCTCTGCGGATAATTTGGCTCCTGGTAAAAACTTCGTGAAAGTCTGGATCTTCAGTTATCAGGGAAAAGGTGCGAGGATAGTGGCACATCTGCAGTGTGCCAAAAAGCATTGGAGAAACACTGATTTGTAACATGAAACTGCTTTGTATTGAATTTTTTTTACCAGTTTTAATCACCTGGTTTGTTTGTTTTGGAGAGAAAGAGACCTCTACAGTTAATTCAGTTCCCAGTAAAAACTTTCTGAACAATGAAAACTGAAGGAATCTTAACTGTGAGTTCACGCTTAGCACAGTGGAGAACTCTAAGCTGGTTGCAGTCTTGTCCACTAGATGCCAATGAATTTCCGTAAATCATGAAAACATACATAAGAAAACATACTTATTTTAAGTTGGGTTTTTTTTTTTTCAGCCAAACCAGAGTTGGTGTTTGCTGGAACAGTGAACTAACTTACTAGATGACTAACAAGACTAACTGAGACAGTTTAGTGACTTTTAGTTAGTTTCTGTCAAGTTTGAATGAAGTGTGTTTCACAATGCATTAACAAGGAAGTTAAGCTAACGTTAGCCTTAGTTCAGTGAAAGAGAGACACCTGGATTGATGTACAGTTGTATTTTTCTGTTTAATAAGGAAAATAGTTGTAAGAATGGGCCAAAACGGCGTCCTCAAACTAGTGAGTGTGACAATTTATGGCCCTACTGACAGATGTTGTCACCATAACAACTGACAACAATCGTCATGTTCATTGTCTGTTCTACTCTCATTCTTTTTCTATGGTTGAAACCATAGAGTACTAAAATGCAAACAGATATGGAACTGTTCTGCATGTTTGGCATAATATCTAAAGAAGAATACTTAAGATACTGAAATTGGCTAGGTGTCAGGATGTGATACGTATTTTTATGTTTATACATCTATCATGAACGTGGGCTTTTGATAACCCCTATTTATTTACACATTGACCGCATGATATATTTTCTGTGACCATTGAAAGTAGAAGCAGTATAGTGAGTATGCAGTAGATGTTGTTGCAGTACAAAAGAGTTTGCTTGCTGCATAAAACAGGAGGATAGGTTATGTTTAAACTGTAGGGGTTTTAACAAATTTTGATGATGTAGAAAGTGTCCTAAAGCTGACACCGTATGACAATTTCAACTTGAAAACGCTGCTGAAGTATGAAATTGTCAAAATTGCAGTTGTGAGTTTTTTTATCCAAAGGTGAGCTAATGTATTATTTTGCACATTGTGGGAGACTTTTTATGAGATTGTCAGTGACATTTCAAGACGATGTCACGGTTGTAAAGAATACCACTTGGTGAGGAAGTCATTCTTCATCATTCTGTCTAGAAAGTAAGATGACAAGGCAGCTTAAACAGAAACCTGTGCTCATAGATGTCGCAGCACGGTTTTAGGTGTTTAGCTGTCTGGACTATTTGAGAGCAGCATTCTCAATTTTTGTCATAGCAAAGCAGTGGTACAAACCAGTAAGGTTTCACTTTATGTGACATTCACTTTGGTACGACATGTTCATTGCTTGATGTTCAACAAATGCACAAGTTCTCAAAATGTCCATAATTTCTAAGGAAACAGCACATTTGGGGGTTTCAGTTTGAATCTTTGTCTTAAAGATTATAGGTGTCAGCCTGGAATTAAACTTTTCATTAGGCTTGGGTGGTATCAAGGTATTCTAGGGTATAAATCTTAATGGTATGAGATTTTCAGTACCTTCAAAAATACAGACACTCCTCTTTCAATTAAACTGATATGGAGACGCTGTATTGTGGTGATTATTGTAGTGCACAGCACGCGCCACCAGAAGCTGGTCTCTACTGGTGGAACTGGCTGAGCAGAGAAAGATGGAGACTGTGAGTGGTGGGGATACATTACGGGACTAGTAAGAAAGAAAGCTGCCTCTGCCCCTGTGTGGGAGTATTGCCACATATAACTTTATCTTCTTCCAGCTTTTCTAAGTAGGGTAACTGCATATCAGAGACACAGCATTGTAGGCTAGACAATGACATATGCTACAATGACTTCCATTACCAGAAGCTAAGCCTTTAAGTTTTTTATGAGGATTTTTTGTTTTGTTTTGTTTACACAAATACCATCATTTACCATATGCACAGGTGAAATGTCAGGAAGATGCAAAGATAGATACCTACCAAGCCTACTTACCATGCTTGTTTGGAAATCTCAGGGATAGAAATAACTTCATCACATTTGACTGTCAGTGTTTACATCAGACTTTCGAGCCTCTTCCACTGCCTGTACATATGAACTGCACTAAGTGGAACGTTGTTAGATATCGTCATGAAATTGCTGTTGTAAGATCTCCTCTTAAATTCATATCAGTGTGTGTTTATGAACTTCTCTGCTGTTTGTTTGTTTTTGGGGGAATTTTTTTTTTCATATGATATCTGATTGTCAATAGGGTCCCCTTTCTGTGCAGTGGGGCACTTTATTAATAAATGTAAAGTGATGCTTATTGTTTTGTGATGATCTGAGAAAACCTTTCTAGAGTTCAGTTTCTTAGGTGACATTTTGATGTTTGATGTATAATGATGACTTACTACACTGTCTGCAGTCTAAGAAATAAATATTGTAGAGATTACGGCTGATTTTGATAACTGGTTCCCAACCTGGTTGTCCTGACCCCCACTAGGAGTCCCCAAAGCTTCACGGGGGGGTCACGAAACTTTCTTGATTGTAAGAGGTATAGGAAAACTTCTAATATATATA